CTATACATTACACACAGGAATTGGTTTTCAACAATTGGTATACAACATAGATAAGTATATGAAGTTGTTTACTGAGAAAAATACAAAATAACAGTCATCCTGCCTACACAGTTCACTGTTACTGATGGTTTTTTGCTTATCAGAATTCAACTCCTGCAAAAGCAGGGATATGTACATTAATATACAATTTTTGGCAGGAGGCAAAAACTTGCAATACACAGTCTTAAGTTATCTGTGGTAACCTTATTGCTTTTACTTTAGTTTTTGTGCTTTGTGCAGTTCTTTTACTTCACATAGAATAAAGCTAGAAAAAATACTCAATCACAAATTAAATTCTGGCAGGTCTTTCTATTTCTCCCTACTTCAATTGATATAATTCCATGAATCTTTCCCAGGGCCATATGCGCCATGCCTGTCTCAATGCCAGATGGCATTCTCACTGTTTTCATCTTTTTAAGTGAATTTTTCTCTGACAGAGGTATCTGTAACTTACCCATAGCTTTCTGATGGACTCCTCCAACAAATATATGTAAGTTTCAGGGAATTAGCTACATTCATTCTACTAGAGGGCAGACAAGAATATGCAGGACATCCCTTCCACAGGCTTCACCACAGCCTGTAACTGTTATGGAGTCATGGAACAGTTTGGAAATCAGGGTTTGAGGTGCCTGGACCCCACAGGTTGCTAGACTCCCTCCTGGATGGGAAAAGAAAGCAAAGAGAAACTGTCTGCTTATTCAGGGGCACCAAACTTTTGTCTGTTCACACCATTGTGCAATGGGAAGTAAACAACAAGGGTTTTTTTTAATCCCATTATGAACATGAAAATATCTAAAGTAAGAAAATGAGCCAGTGAACATCACAATGTTAAGTGTGCTATAACTGTGTGGTGAGTCTGTTACAGAGATTTAGAAATAGGCCTTCCCTTCTGCACCAGTTCTTGTTATATCTTAACACCTGTTCCATAAAGTACTTCTTGTAAGGGAAAAAAGTGTACTTCTGTGTGTGAAAAGAATGAAGTTAAAGAAATATAGGGTAGCACAATATAGTAATTTAGAAATTGCTCTTTTGCTGATAAGGCAAATTATTTCTTGTACTAATATTTTGTATATTTATGCACTCAGTTATTCATATAAGCCAACAGAAGCTCAAGTATAACACTCTTTAAAGTGTTCAGCAGAAGACAGGTCGGAGAAACTTCTTTAAAAGCCTTGAGGGTGCCCATTATTCCTTTCAATGAAGTTAAAATGAAACAAAACAAAATAGAAAAAGCCTCTGGTTTATATAACCTTTGTATATTTCTACAGAAGTATTTCAGATAAAGTAGCAAGCTATATAAAACAACAAAGATCAGACCACATTCCCAAATCAAATTGTTGTGTTTCCTTCTTTTGTGTGCAGTACAAAATTGAGTGAAAAATTAAAGTGCGGATGTCACTATAAAAAGAAATGTTAAAATTCCAAATGTTTATGACAACTGCTTATTTCATTTTTTTGCAAGCTGAAACTACAAAGCATTTTACTTCATAGCGCACATAATGAATAGCCTAAACTACATAGCATAAACTGTAAAATACATAAACATGAAAGACTAAGACTTCTGTGCTGGTGAGAGAAAATGGGGTCCACAGCTCAAATGAAAACTATTTATTGGTTGCATAATATCAAGAGCACATAGAATTACTGTAAAAGTATGAGAGTGCTCCTGACTTTCAAGCCCAATCCAAAAGCAATAACCGCTATGATCCCATTGTGTTCTGACTTTTCAGGAGTGAGTGACAGCCTTTTTATGCTACTTTTCTTTTCTTTAAGCAAAAGTAGGAAAAGGAGAAAAAAAAAGATAAAACCAAACCAAGCCTCCTTCAGGAGCTTCAATATATGGCTGCTAACCAGGTGAAGATCTGGACTTGTGTGTGTACCAGGCCAAAGAATAATTCCCTATCAAAATCATCGCCCCTTTCTTGTCCCTTAATACAAGGGAAAATTCTGGGGAAATGTGTAACAGGAGGTGGAAAAAAGGGGCTTATAAACTAGGACCATCAGAAAATAACATGCTTCCTTTTTGGAACCATTGAAAATTGCTACACACTGCTACCCATGGATAAAATACATGTGAGTATCCCACTCTTTGGTATTTTAACAAACCAAGAAGGAATTTCACAGAAGGGTAAATCTGGTCTAAATCCACCTTTGAGCACTCTTGGGCAGAGGTCCTGTACACAGAGGAGACATACTCACTTTTTGTAACATAATATGTAACAGTATCTTAAGCATCATTGCTATATAAAGGCTAAATAAAGTACAGCTTTCACGGAAAAAATAACAACAGATGACAAAGGTCTTCAGGCCACTGATACATTGCTAAAGGCTAATCTGCATCCATGAATGTTTTCAAAAATGCTGGTGAGGCATGAATTAACACTGCAAAAAAAAGGGATCAGAATCCCCCAAACCCCTACAGCTACAATGTCATGTAGACACCAGATACTGGCACTTGAATAATACTGTATACAATATAATCATGTTAACACAATTTCTGCTTGTCATTTGAATCCCTTAGCTGGTGCCTGCAACACCCTTTACTGGTAGTTAAACTAAAACATCCATCTCTTACCAAGTCTATGAGTAAAATGGGACTTTTGAAGAAAAAAAAAAAAAGACCTATGAGTAAGATACCAACAGAAATAATCTCTTCTGTTCTTTGGGTCTCTACAGAAGCATGTATATATCTTACAGAACATTAATATGTCTAATCTGAATGTGTGGGTGGGCAGAAGGAAGAGCTTGTTTATTGTGTTTTTTTCAAAGCAGCAATTGCTTTTAAAAGCGGCAGAATGAAACACTGATCTCATAAGAATTAATTAAGGTCAAACTTGTCAAATTTAAAGGATTCAAGATTTTATCATCTTGCTAGTCAAGCCATTTATTTCTGTGACCTCTACAAACACCATCCCCAAATATTCTGTAGTTTATTAAACCTTTCTGTTGCCAAATGTGACTTTCTATTTGTTATATTGCACTGACATCTAGATTGACCCCTCTTTCTGTGCTGTTAGAATAAGTATAGAGTTAGACTTACGCAGAAAAGCTGGAAGTAACAAGAAGCAATCACTAAGATTTTTCCAGGTTTTAAAGATCTTCGACAAGCAACGGAGAGATCACTGTCAACGATGGACAGACAACACCTTTGTGTTATAAAATTGAATGTTAGACTGTGCATAGATTTAAAACATGGTATTTTCTTTTATAGAAATGGCAATTTATTTAGCAAAATAAAATTCTAACCAAACAATCTCTGGAAAAGCAGAAGGATCTTCACTGCTAACATTTGATCAAACAACATAAAAACATTCTATGCCTAAGAAAGAGTCTACAAGTAATTGGAATGTGTTACTTTATTTTATTTGAAGTTATGGAGTCAAAAATAATTTCTTTATATTTGTGGTTTTATCAATAGATATATTCAGGAAAATCCAATGACTGACTGTTTTTCACTTTTCACCTTCTGTCCCCTTTGCTTCGCTTGACTGTTGCATTGGTTTGACTGAACAAAGGGTAGGAGTAACATGTCAGAATATAAGATAGAATAAATACATCTTAAAATTTTACATAATTTGTTAATTTTAACCACTAAACTTAAAAGAACAACCTGAAAAAAAATTAGGAAATACATAATTTATTTAATTTTCTTTTTAAATAAATGTTGAAGAAACAGTTGAATGCTTTGAATAAGAAACAGTTTGGGGTAAGTGTAAGATCTTAGCTTGCCTACAGTTTTCTCTGTCTTCGCACAATGAAGCTCTGCCTGTCACTTACTAATTTGCCAGATTTGTCCTTGGAATTCCTCAAGCTAACTGATATATAATCTAGGTTTACAATACACAACGTGAAAAGAGGGTGAGTAAAACCCTTCATGTTCTTCTGGGGCTGAGGACCAGTAGAAGAAAAAAAAAAAAGTAATGTATTTTATGATTCAAAAAGGAAAGAAACTGAGCAGTCCAAAACACTGCGTGGCAAAGAACTAAGAATGAGAAATCCTGGTACTCTGGAGTTGGAGAGGTAAATTTCCTGGAACCAGACTCACCAGCTTTGTCCCAGCTCAGCAGTGTATTTTTGTAGTGTGTTACTACAATATAAGCAAACAATAACTGCAGATACTCAGACTTGTCTTGTGTACTTTATTCTGGCTTGTTGACTCACATCTGTACACCCCCATGCAGTGCCTAGCTTTTGCTCCTCAGAAAACGGGCCTCGAGATGGCAGTTATTTTACCTTTCTCTCTCTTTACCTACTGCCTACATTTGAAAAGCCCCTGATGTCTGTGTCCAAAAGCTAAATGCTGATCTTCAACCCATGAGTAGCAGGTTTCAGTTAGACACTCTAGGGTGTTTCAACCAGGGGGAGGGAGGAATTATACCAACATTAACCAGAAATTCCCTTAAAGAAAAAAAAAGTTATTGGCATACTTTCACATGTATATGCACTAATGTCATGGTGCATGTATGATGACTACGATGGCAGTGCATTCCATTTAAATTTACGCCATATGATTGGTATGCATTTGACTTCATCTGGATCTATGGGTCCTTTCCCAGTATCCTGCTTGCGATAGATCATCTCTACAATGGCTGATTCCCTCAGAGACTGGATGTCTTTCTCTATTGATGTCGAGTTGGCTGAACCCTTGTATGAAAACCTTTCTTTCACAGCTGCCAAGAGCCACCTCCAAAGGCTGAGGGACTTTTTCTCTTTTGCAATTGCTTTGTCAGTTCCCCCTTCCCTAGCAAGTGATCCCTGCTGCTTGGCTTCTGTACCTTCTAGTTCGTGACCATCGGGCCCATTGTCCAAGCATCGGAGTAACCAAGTAATGATGTGCTCCCCTGGTTGACAGATAAAATATTTTCGCATATTCCGCCGCTCAGTTGAAGTCCGGGGTTGGGAAGTCACCTCTTCTTCCTCTTCTTCCTCTTCTTCATCTTCCTCATAACTCCTGGTCAGATGCTGTCAGCAGTGAGTACATTGTTTCTTCATTTTACTTCATCTTTCTTGCCACCTTTTTCTTTTTCCCCTTGCGTACAGGGGCAACCGATATTGGCATGAGTTGGTCCTCTGGTTTAGCTGCAGTGATTATCACTGTGGTCAGAGTGGCTGCAGTATCTGTTGTCGGGGTTTGGGTAGCTGCTGTACTCGTCACTGGGGCTGGTGTAGCTGCTGTGCTTGGAGCTGGAGTAGCTGCACTGTCTGTTGCAGTCAGAGTTTGAGTAGTTGCTGTACTTGTAGCTGGGGCTGGTGTAGCTGCTGTGCTTGGAGCTGGAGTAGCTGTGCTGTCTGTTGAGGTCAGAGTTTGAGCAGTTGCTGTACTTGTCACTAGGGCTGGTGTAGCCGGTGTATCTGGAGTAGCTGTGCTGTCTGTTGCAGTCGGAGTTTGAGTAGCTGCTGTAATTGTCACTAGGGTTGGTGTAGCTGCTGTATTTGGAGTTAGAGTAGCTGCATTGTCAGTTGCTTTGCCATCAGATCCAGAGACAATTTTTTCCCTTTGAAGGTGCTGGATAGTGTTGAACAGGGCTCTGTAAGCATAGGCCAAGCCCCAGCATGTTGCCATGGTTTGTCCCTCTCTGGTAAGACCGGGATGACAACACACCTCATTTAAATATTTTACAAATTTTTCTGGATTTTGCACTTTTTCAGTGGTGAAGTTCCAAAGCACTGGAGTGGCCCACTGACCTAGATACTTGTCCATACTACCCCACACATCCTGCCACTCATGACTGTCCAGCCTTGGGGAAAATCTCTTGGTCCTCCTATATCGCCATCTAACCCTAGACAGGGCCCAAACCTGACTCTGCTTAACTCGCGATCAGACGAAATGGTCATGGGTAAAACACCCTCTGTATGCGTGCCAACATGGTGATCCCCATCACAATCAGCAAACAATTCTCAACAGTATTAAAAGGCCATTCAAAACCTTCAGGACTCTCAAATGATGCTGTAAACAGTTCGGTGGGGGAGCTGGGAAGGTAAGGGATTGTCTCCTTCAGAGGCTGACCACCCAAGGAGGGGAAAAAAGATGTGTAATTGCTATACACTCCTATTATATACCCCCCAAAGTATAGAGGTATACACTGGGAACGCAAGCCAGATCAGTTTCATGATCAATGATTCTATTGTATTACAAGTCATTACCATAAATTACAATGAAACAAGAACCTTAGCCCTGGCCCCCCAGCCGATAAACACTAACACAGCAAATACAGGCTGTAAGTAAGGTACGACATGCTGAAACTCTGAGATCAAGAGCAACGACTTTGACAGCCAATAAATCAGCATTGTGGTGAGTGCCTATTAATCCAAAACAATGAATGCTTATCACAAATACAATTAGACACACTCTTGTCAGATCTGTCGTTATCTCAACCCTTTGGACCCCACGTTGGGTGGCAAAAAGAGATGTCGTGGTTTAAGCCCAGCTGGCAACAAGAACCATGCAGCTGACCCCCTCCCCCCTTCCTCCGCCTGCTCCCGGAGGGATGGGGAGGAGAACCGGAAGAATACAACTCCCGCAGGTTGAGATAAGAGCAGCCCAGTAACTGAGGTATAACACAAACCACTGCTGCTACCACCAATAGTAATAATGATAAGGGAAATAACAAGGGAAGAGAATACAACCACTCATCACCTGCCGACCAATACCCAGCCCAACCTGAGCAGTGATCTAGCCCTTCCAGGTAACTGCCCCGTCCCCCCACCCCAGTTTATATAGTGGGAATGATGTGCTGTGGTATGGAATACCTCTTTAGTTAGTTTGGGTCAGGTGTCCTGTCTCTGCTTCCTCCTGGCTTTACCACCTCCCTGGCAGAGCATGAGACTCAGAAAATCATTGGTCAGAGTAAACATTACTGAGCAGCAACTAAAAACATCGGTGTTATCAGTGCTGTTCCCAGGCTGAAAGTCAAAACCATAGCACTGCACCAGCTACTAAGAAGGAGAAAAATGACTGCTGCTGCTGAACCCAAGACAAAAGCTAGTATTGAACATGATTATTAGTGTTCACCCTCATGTAAAATACTAGATTTAGTAGAAAAGATACTGTGTAACAGGAATCTGCTATGACAAGGGCTCAGTTTGCTCTCCAAGCTCCGCTGATCTAATGGGCTGGTCCCACTTCCTCATTGCTTGCTGTCATATATATACTCTATCACTTCTCCTGTAGTACTACTGGCATTAATCTAACCTCATGGTTAACTGATTGCAGTTAATACAATCAACTGGTCTGTAGACAAGAAGGAAATAAGTTGCGGGAAGAAAGATTAAGTGTCTGGACTACTTGGAAAACTTCAGAGAAGATGTAGATTATTAAAGATGGCGTAAAAGTTCATGAAGTTGTTCCAGTGAAAGCATCTTGAGGTGCGATTTATGTCAAAAAGGCAGTCTCTGACAGAGAACTTGTCTTATAAATCACCAGCAAGTCATTTTGGAAGTTAAGACAAAGACCTTCCTAATTTGATTTTAAGACAAATACAAAACCTGCAGTTATTCATTCATTTTTGTCAGCATCTGCCATATCTCTATTCTTGATTGAGAAGCAGCACCTCACGGAGTACTTTTGTATTCTGCTGCATTCTCTGGTGTGTTCAGAGGAGATGTGCTCTGACCCACCCCCTGGTCAACCTGGGGGTTTAGAAAGAAGCAGCATCATCCTATCACCAGCAAAGTTCTTCTTCACACAGGAAGGCACTAAGGTAGTCTATCAGTGTTTTGCTTCAGGCAGATCTAAAACAAGCAGTACCCAAACTTCCATTGATGTGGTCAATGAACGAATGTTTCACCACAAAATTCAAATGGACGTATTTTTTGAGCCTTACTTTTCCTGACACTGCACACAGCTGCAAATTCAACAACAAAAAAAAAAATCACCAAAATTCTAACACATTTGAGAATGCTCAGTGTTTACTTATAGTTAACATAAGGGAATATTTTTAAAAGAGGTAAAACTGTAGAAAACTTAGGGGCAATTTTGGCAAGAAAAGAGAAATATGATCTTGGAAGGTCATACAGTACAAACAAAGCCAAGACATTTTGACCTAGAAAAACTGATAATGAAATACATAGCTGCTTTGCATCATGGAAAAGGAGATAAGGACCAGTTTCTGTATAGGTTTTGATTGCACATTTGCAATATGATGCACAGTTTTGGCCACCTCAACACAAGAAACTTGTCAAGAAACTGATGAAATGTCTATAAGGCTTTATTTATGAATTACAGCATATCCAAGCAGATAACACAGTAAATAGAGTGGTATGAATATCTTATAACCACTACTGAACATTCATAAATATTACAAAGCTGATGCAGAGGACTAAAGGTAAAGAACTGCTTGAAAGGGCTAAACTCTTTGTTCATATCACTCAGATTGGTATTGTTCTCAGCATAAGACACTCCACAGCAAGCTAGGAGTCAAAATCAATCTCAGGGTAAGAAACTTCACAGAAAGGAGTCAGAATCAATCTTTACACACAAGAATTATTTTGATTTCCAACTTGAATACAGAATAGAAAAAAAAAATTAAGAAAACCAGACATCAGAACAGGAAAAAATCTGATAGAGATAATTAAAAAAAAAAAAAAATAAACCCAAAACAAACACCCAAGCAAACAAACCAACACATTAAACATATCAGAACTAGAAAATCTCTACAGACTAAGTAAAAGTCACCTTCCCAGTATGAAGAGCAGTGTGCTTCATTGTTCTTTGTTATGTGGTTTGAGGTATGTACTAAACCCCAATCTCGTTCTCCTTCCCCAAGTTTTACCTTCTTATACCCATTCAAAATCTTTATGCAAAGATCAGGTTCCAGGCCTATTATTCAAGTTTTTCTTTCTGTGCACTCAACCTACAGTTCATCCTGTTTTTTGAAAATACACTGTATATTAGCTTTTTCTTTTTATAGCTAACCAGAGCTGTCATAAGCAGCCCAATTTTATTCACAGACAGACAATGCTCACAAAGAGCTTTTATTTGTTGTCAAACTAGTCAATGTGTTTCATATGAAGTACTAGGTGGAATCAGAAGTGCATATAAAATATTAATGATTTCACTGTTGTGTACTTTTTAGTTCAACAACAAAAAGAAATAGAGGCATAAAAATTAAATATAATGAAGACATTACAGAAGAATAAACAAGGTAATCAATTTCTAATGTATAACACCACTACAATGGTATTAACTATGATTTAAACAAAGTAATCTGCTTTTGTTAGATATGCAAAATGCAAATGAGACATTTTAGTAGTGCTCCCATCTCTTGCAGAAGTCACAGCAGTGATGCTAATGAGGAGATGATAAGGTTAATGCTTTTTTTTATTATTATAGTATTCATTTTTAAAGCTATAAAATTTTGGTTTGACAGCTTCCTTTGCAAACTTCAAAATATAACTTCAGCTAAAACTAAGCTTTTCCTTTCACAAGCACAGAGAGGTATACATTCCTGTGACACTTGCATTTTTCCTGGAGCAGCCATGCAATATCATAACCATATTGTGTGTCTGTATGTATGATAAATCAAATAACTGGAATAATGATCAAGTTTTTTAACTTTTCCTGCTGTGCTTATCAATGCCTGAGAGGTAAACCACTGTAAAAAATAATATTCAAATGTGAATTCTCTCAAGTGTACTCATATCACTAAAATTCTGAGATGCATTCAAGGTCATATTTTGATCTCTGAGAATAAAGAATACTGTATGCTATTATCTACAGTTAGGCTTGAATGCTATCATTAAGCAAACTTTAAGCAAAATTCTTGAATAAAACTTCATCTAGATTACACTGAAATTACTACAAGAAAGAAAACCCAGGTAAAGAAACTTTTGCATTCAGTCTTATTTTAGTGTTTCTTAAGACCACCAAACTGTCAGAACTAGCATGACATAATAAAGTAAAATACATCACTTCTATAAATTTTAATTATAAACCCAAGGATTCTTAAAACTTTGGGAAGATTTTTAAAAGGATTGCACAGATAAAATGGATAAAAATAAACAGAGGGATCATTTTGTCCCTGAACACTTGTCACTGAGAAGAGACAGCAACTGTGTCCTAAAGAGCAAACAGCATATTTTGTCTAAATGGGGTTGATGTTGTGTCTTTTCAGAAATCCTGTAAAAGAAATACCTCAGGAAAGTTTCATATTTTAATTTCATTTTTAAACTAAGGATTTTTCAAAGGTTTTAATATACCTGGAATAAATATTCAAGCACACGAGTGCACATCTGAACCAAAAATGCAAGGAAGATTTTCCAAATACAAATTAATTTGTTTCAGCAGGATTTTCCTTATCACCTTCAGCAGTGGTAGTTATAAGTAATACTTTCAAAAGCTTTGACTCTAAACTTCTGAAGTTCAGAGTTGATTTATTAAACTACTTAATCCTGATTTAAATCTTCACACTTTCTATGGGAAACGAAATAATATATATAAAACTTAAAGCACAATGAGATCTACTATCTTCTTCAACTCAAATTTAGTGAAGATAAATAGGTAAGTAAAAAGTTTTCTGTATCAGCTCAAAGCCTCTGAAAATGGCAGCTACTCTAAAGACCATTAATGTAACAGGTGATACAAAGTGTATATGAAAACGGATATTATTTGCAAATAAGCCTTTATTAGTTCTTATTAGCATAAAACACTGTTGAAAACATTTTAAGCATCATTTTACTCTGATAGTCTTTGGGGAGTGAGATCAATAATTATCGTCAAACACTTATTAAATTTTATAATTGAAATAGCCTCCAGCATGCTCTATAACCTGCATGTACATGACTTGCCGATCTCAGATTTGCCTATTCGCAGGTTAAGATTTTTATGTTCTATATGTTTTTTGTTTCCTTTTTTTTTTTTTTTCCCCCCTATTTCACACTGAAAAAGTGATTTCATCTATGGCATTTTTCATGAAGCAGAATATAAGTTTGCATGAAAGGTATTACAAAAGCTTGATTGGTATTTTGCTCTTAGAAGATCAATTTTGCTCTGAATTGCCAGGGCAATCAGTCAGATCAATGAGTTCCTTGAACTCGGCTTAACACTATGTCTGCAGAAGCCCCATTGCTAAAGCAGCACATAACACAGCACACATTTATTGGGGTGGCCGCAAGAGTAAATAAACACAATGCAAATGAATAGTGCTGGCCTAGGTACTTCACATGAGACATAAGACTCAGATCGTAGAGACTGAGAGAAATCCTCACTGAACAGTAAGTCTTCTCTTTCACTCTCTTTTATTCTCTTTTTATCAGAAAGAATAAAGGTATCTAAAAGAACACCATTTGCCAAGAAAAGACTAAATAGCTAAACACTTTAACTTCCATTTTTCACAAAACAACCAGAAAATAAAAAAAGAAAAAAAGGAAAGAGAAACCACTAACACCACTCCCATGTCTCTGTAAAATGGTC